AATGTTCATCTGTTTCCCAATCCAGTAGGCAAAATTACTTAGGACCACAAATGGAGAGAAACTAAGGCTTGGGGCTTGGCCAGAGTTCATACAATTCTTTCTATCATCGAGAGAGAGAGAGAGAAGGGCCCAACTTCACTGGAAATCAAGAGAAGTAGCCACTAAGAAGCATTCAGTGAGGGTTTCCACTTTCTCCTGGGATTAGCCTCCACAGTAGCAAACTCTGTAGAAAGGCTTGTAAAAGATGGGACTCATGGGAGGAAGAGAGAGGAAAAAGTGACCTCTTCTGTAAAGAGCAGAGCAGGAAGCATTGATGAGGGTTGAAAAGGGGGAGAATGAGAATTATCATGTGGCTCAGTGAGTTATGGATGTGCCGAGAGTGAGCTCAGAGTTTCCAGGGTGAATATATTGCTCCAGGGGAACTTCCAGAGAAATGTGTACAAAGGGGGAAAAAAAAATCCACATTGGATCTGAAGTTAGAAAGCCTGAGTTTGAGTCCCAGTTAAGACACAGGTCACCTACATCACCTTGAGCAAGTTATTAAACATCTCTGAGTCCATTTCCTTATCTGTAAAATGGAACTAGTGAAACCTACAAACATGGAAGAGATAAAACAAATAAATGTTTGCCCAGAGGGCCGTGGCGCGGGGAGATAGCTTCAGCACTGTTCTCTTCTCTCTTAGGAATTCTGTCAAAGTGAAAGAACTCGGCCCTCCCCACTTCACAGTCTAAGACATTGACTTAGCAATGGCCCAAAAAACCTCACTGATTTATCGTCAGGATTTCCACTACCAAGGTATCTCCACGAAATACTTTTGAATAGCAGAGAAGCTCCTGAAGTAAAAGACAAACGTGGAGGTCGCTACAGGCAGAAGGGACTATGGAAGGTCAGGCCAGAGAAGGAGTGCTCTGGATACAAGGGAGAGAGAACCAGAGGCTAACGATCTGGTTCTAGTTCTGATGGAATCAGAACTTGGTGTAGATCACGGAAGAAACTGAGGCTTATGTAGTTCATCCATAAATAGAGGATTTATTTTCCTCCTCCTCCTTTCCTACTTTCCCTACTATTCTCCTGTGGTTGTAAGAAATAAAACATATATGATAAAGACATGAAATTGTTCTCTAAGCTCAAGGTGCCACATTATCATGTAGGTATCAGGTTTAAGGAAATGGGAAGGGTAGCCCTAGGACCATGGGGTTTACTCCATGTGTGCTACATCCCTATGACTAGAATAGGAATTGCTCTGGACACAAGAGCTCCGCTACCACACCTACTCGTCACTGCACACAATTCCCTTTTGAATTCTTTACAGACCAGAATTTTCTGGTCCCTGTGCTAGCCTTGGCCTATTTTAGAAAGCTTAGACTTCTCTCACAAAGTTTCTGTAGTTTGGGAAGAAACTTTGCGGTTTGACCTGATGCTGACATCCTAGCCAAGCTGAAGACCAGAGCCCACCCCGTTGGTATTACAGGTGACATGATGGAAATGATTTTCCCTTTCAGGTGTGATTTTGCAATGTGACCCTGGGGCAGTCTGGACAGGTGCCAGGGCTGAAGTGAGAGAGCAAAAGAACAGTGAAAACCATCAGAAGAACAAGTGAGTCTCCAGTTAAATTGACATGACAATGAACAGACATTGGCCGCAATACTGTGCCACTAAAATTATACCTCAGTCTATATACTTAGCTCTGGACCTGAGGGAGAATGACAGCCAGCTCAACTGATTGAAAAAAGAATTCGGGTCTCAAAGTCTGGCTGCCGCCTTGCTGTGATATCATTAGGAGTCAAAAAGGGATTTGGAGCAAGCAGTCTGAAAGCAGACTCTGGGTGTGACGGATATCTCCGTGCTGAGGAGGAAACCACAGCAGGAAAGAGCCAGAAGAGGGAGAGAGAGCCACAATGGTTTCCTGGCCTCCTGATCCCTGCCTAGCCTGCACCCCCTCACCATAAGTACAGAAAGAAATTATCTTTTTTTTTTTTTTTTTTAAGTAATCTCTAAGCCTAATGTGGGTTTTGAACTCACGACCCCAAGACCAATAGTTGCATGCTCCTCCAACTGAGCCAGCCGGAAGCCCCAAAAATGATCTGTTTAAAGTATAAGCACATAGAGTGGGAAGAGGAGGGCACAGAACCGAGTTGTGCAGTGATCTCTTTCCTTTTCTGAATTTCTTTGGAAATCACTATTTTGACCAGAAAGTCAGCCTTTATGGTTGTTAGAGCTCTTTTTCGGTGGAATATCTTTTCTCCTAGACTAAATGGCATGCTCTCTCTGTTATATGTCTCCCAGTTCCCACATAATAGATAGTTCAAGGGTTTGGTTGATGGAAGGGGTTGTACGTGTTCTCTTAGGGGGGCTAGTCTTGAGAAGATTGTGGTACGGCTACCACCTGTTTCCATCACAAAGTCCTGAAGGTGACTTAGCCTAACAGCAGTCTGGTTGCTCCCAATAAGAGAGAGAGAGAGAGAGAGAGAGGCTCTATTTACAGAGACCCTGATGACCTCACACCTGCCTCAGCCAAGCTTGTCCACACTGGCTGCTCACTGCTCCTGTCTCTCAGTCTTTTGGAGAGAAAAAAGAGCATGGGAAGTGTCACATCTGTGGTTGGAAACTTTGCAGTGATATTTCCTTGGGGCTATTATGAGATAAGTGTTCTCCAGATCCACTTTTTTTTTTTTTTTTTAAGAAGTATACTGAAAGTTCTGGGGGACGTTTGCTCCTCAAACATTAATGAATGCTAAAATGGACTTTGTGCTCCATATTGAGGATGCAAATTTCCCACTCTTGAAGCCTCCCAGTGAAGTTGGGGAGTCTGTACATATCAGTGGGTGGGGCAGGCTGGGGTTGCTCAAGACTGGGCTGGTCCAAGAAAACTTTATGGAGCCTGAAATGGACCTTGAAGCAAGGGCCAAACCTGACCAACTAGAAAAGAAAATGTATTGGAGGGCAGTGAAGGAAGTCATTTTAGCTAAAACAGGTTTCATATGGTCACATAAAATTAGAAAAGGTTTTGGAATGCTTTGAATTCCAAATTTACAGTTTGCATTTTAATCAGTAAGCACTAGGAAGCCATTAAATATTTTTGAGCAAGTGTATGAATATGTAAAAGAATTTTATAAAGACTATCTGGTGGTAGTGGGGAGAGGATGTTGGGGGTGGGGGGCTAATTGGGAAAAGTTACAACAGTCCCTAGAGATTATTGGACTATTGAGCATCTAACTAAGGTGTTAGCAGTGAGAAGGAGAACAGCAGTCAATTCTGTGAACTTCTATCTTGGAACACTATTTGCATGTTGTCTGTTTGATTTAAAAATATCTAGGGCACCTGGGCGGCTCAGTCGGTTAAACGTCCAACTTCTACTCAGGTCATGATCTCAAGATTCGTGAGTTCGAGCCCCGCATCCAGCTCTGTGCTGACAGCTCAGAGCCTGGAGCCTGCTTCAGAGTCTATGTCTCCCTCTCTCTCTTCCCCTCTCCCAGTCACACTCTATCTCTCTCTGTCTTAAAAATAAATAAATATTAGAAAATATATGTCTGAAAAAAGGGTCACCTGGATGGCTCAGTTGGTTAAGCATCTGACTCTTGATTTCAGCTCAGCTTATGATCTCATGGTCCGGGCCCCTCTCTTTCTGCTCCTTCCCTCCTCCCTCTCTCACCTCTCTCTCTCTCAAAATAAATAAATACATAAATAAACTTAAAATATGTATATCTGGGAATGCTTCTAATCCTTCATGTCCTTCAGTTTCCTGACCACTTCGCCAGGAGAGTGGAAAAGAAAACTGCACTATTACCTGTTGACTGTCCTTAGGCAACTCACTCTGCTCAGCTGGACCTCAATTATCTCATTTAAATCAGATAATTATTTTACCTGCCGGAAGGCAGAGAACTGGAACACAGAATATCTTGATCTTTTCAATTCTGAGTCCCTTTCTTTTTTATTTCTAATTCTTCTTCAGAACTCTCCAACATCTACTCTCCCCTAAGAGCTATTTCATCCCAGTCTGGGAGAAACCATTTCGGGCTCAATCTGGGGTGCATATGACTTCCCCAGGGTCTCTTGTTGATGTGGTCGAGACTGGGACAGAAGGGTCTTCAAATCCAACCTGGAGAAAGAAACTGACTGAGTTAAGTGGCCATTGCCTCCCAACTAATATCATGCCTACTCTTGATACCTAAAATAGGAAGTAGGGTCGTTAGAGCCACGAAAGGCCAAGTCTCAGGCATTAACCCCCCCAGCTCTTCCCCAGTATGACCTCTCCCCCACTCTCTCGCCCCGCTTCTACCCAGTTTCTACTTCACTTCGGCTTGGGGCGTACCACCACCAGATGCCTGGGCTGTACCTCAGTTGCCCTCGATCACACGGATTTTGGATCAGAACTCGCCGCTTCCTACCCGAGTTGGCAGTGGCGCCAATCTCTGGCCGCGTCTCGCAGCCCACAGGGGCTCTTCCCTCTTCCTTGGGCTTCTCAGGGGCGGAGCCCACCTGTGCCCCGAGGGCGGGGCCCGGGCGGGGGCGGGACAGGTGGGAGTGCGGTCGCGGCCGGAGCTGGGAGAAAAAGCCCCAGCGGGAGGCGGCGGAGCAGAGGCAGGCGGGCGGGCGCGCACCTAGGGAAGCCTGCCTGTGGGCAGAGTGTGAGAGCCGGCGAGCGGGCGAGGAGGCGGGAGAGAGGGCGGGCGGGCGGCTGCGAGCCTGCGACGAGGAGAGGCGTGGAGAGGAGAGCCGGGCGCGGAGGACACCGGGGGAGGAGGCGCCGGTTCGGCTCGCGGAGAGAGAGACCTGAGAGGCGGCGCGAGGCGCCCGCGCAGCCAGAGGGACCCCTCGCGCGCGCGGAGCATGAGCCGGCGCCCGGCTGGAGCGCGGCCGGGGGACACGGCCGCCGCGCAGCCCTGAGACGCTGGGCTGGGGCTGGGCCGCCGTGCGCCGGGGGCGCTGGGCCCGGCCGGGGGGCGGGGGCTGGGTGCGGGGCAGCCCGCGCTGGCGGCGGCCGCCGGGGCGCCGCGCCATGGGGAGCCCCCGGGCCGCGGTTCTCCTGCTGCTCCTGCGCCCGGTCAAGCTGCTGCGGAGGCGCTTCCGGCTGCTGCTGGCGCTCGCCCTGGTGTCCGTGGGGCTCTGGACTCTTTATCTGGAGCTGGTGGCGTCGGCCCAGGTCGGCGGGAACCCCCTGAACCGGAGTAAGTAGCGCCCGGTGGGGGGGTTGGGGGGAGGACGGGGAGGGCGCAGAGGTGGGAGGAGGCACAAACGGTGGCCCCCGCGTTGGGGAGACCCGCCTCTCATCTTCAGACCCGATTTCCGACACATTTTCGTGTCCAGGTGCCTGGCGCCTCCCCGCTGTCTGCTCCGGAGAGAAGGGGGCGTGGGGACCGGTCGCCGAGTTCCGAGCCCGGGCCTGTCCGCCCGGGGCATCCTCGGGGCTGCTCGCTGCTCCCCTAGGAGGGCGACGGGGAGAGAGGCTCCCGCCCGCCCCGCGGGAATGCTGGCCGAGACGCCGGGCACCTCGGTCCAGCGCGCTAGGCTTGCAGCCCCCCAGCGAGAGAAACGCGCGGTCCACGCGCGCGCTGGGGATCTGTGCCCCGGGTGCCCTCGGCCGTGTCCGCCGAGGCGGCGCGCTCCGGTTAGCGCGGCCCAAACTTTGCTCAGCGACTTCTCCATGACTCGCCCCGTTTCCAGTCCTGCTGTGCTTTCTGTCTGGGGCTCTTTATTTTAACCATACCTCCGAGACCCCCCTCCTCCCCCCTCCCCCTGCGCCGCTCCCCTCCCAGGCCCTTCCTCTTCCTTACTGAGCCGACCCCTCTCCTGGTTCTGGCTGTCCCTCCAACTAGTTACCCGAAGCTCTCTTCGGAACGCTGCGGAACCTACCAAACTCTCCAGACCCTGCTCATGGAGACCGTGGACGGCACGGTGGACCCGGCAGTGGTTAGATTTCCTACTCTTCTTTTTAACTTAGATAAAGCCACTTAAGTTTTCTGTGCCTCGCTTTTCTCCTAGGGAAGTGGAGGGGCCTCTTTCTCGTTTCAACAGTCCTGGCTATCCGAGGTCATTTTCAATTTACTGTTGATGGAGTAAAACTCCGAAAGTGTCAGGGACTGTTAAAGGACAGTAATAGCAGGAAAAAGGAGTGGAGAGGAGGTCCCCTGCCCAAGCCTGAGGAGTTCTAGCACATTGTCTTCCCTGCCTTCACTTCCTGCTTTCAGGAAATTGTGAAGGTGTGGTGATGACTTTGCTGGTGAGAAGGTGCTTGGACAAGTCCTTGTGACAACTGCTCTGCCCAGAGTTGGGCGTGGTGCTTTGCCTCCTGCCGTGGCCAAAGAGAGGGAAATACTGAGGTCAGTAATTGAGTTGATTCAGGGTAGAGACATGTATTTATGGTAGAACCTCTCTGTTGAAGTAATTCTGGCTGTGAGTTGGGAGACTGGAGTTCCAATCCTGGTTCGGACACTAACTGGTTGGAGGATCAAGGGGAAAAAGACAGCTTCTCGGGTGGGAGAAAGTTGGACTCAATGATCTCCAAGGTCCCTTGAGTCTGGATGCTTAGATTGTGTGATATCTCTTGCTTGAGCATTTCCAGTGCCAAAGAGCCCAGCACATCATGAAGAGGGCCCTGCTTCGCCACAGCCCCACAGCTCCAAATAGGAGAGTTCTTCTGTTGCCCAAATTTTGCTTTCCCATAGCTCTGTCTTCCCTCCTCCAGGCCTCGTTCTTCTCTCTGAAACACAGAGTGAGCCTACTTTTCAGTGGCCACTCAGTCCCAAGGGGGCATGCCGGGTTGGAGTGTGTGCAGGTGGGAGGCCCTGGGAAGGGATTTCCCTTCTCTCCTCATTGGGACACGCCTTCTCAATGTGGCTACCATTTTGTTAATGTGGTAGCCAGGGGGATCCTCTGCACAGATTAAAAACAGAGGATAGCTGTTGCTTTGTGACCCTGAAGTTAGTGATGTCCCTTCCTTCCCTCCCACCTCCCATACCCCTTTCCCTTACCTCAAGTGTGTTTTCTCCTTGGAGATCAGAACTAGTTTGCCATCATCTTAATCTCACACTCTGGCTCCTAATTTCTGACTCCTGTTGTCTTTTTCATTCTTAGTTACCAATTCTTGGGTCTGTTTGGTTTCCCTACTAGAAGAATCTTAACTCTGACTGGGTTTCCTTTTTTTTTTTTTTTAAGATTTTATTTTTAAGTCATCTCTATACCCAGTGTGGGGCTCAAACTCACAACCCTGAGATCAAGAGTCATATACTCTACAGACTGAGCCACCCAGGCACCCCTCTGACTGGGTTTTTAATCAGTTTCCTTTCCCAAAATGTTCCTAGCCTCCAATTCAGCAATGTCTTTATTTCTCTAACCATCATTTTAAAAAAATATTTGTTTATTTTGGGGAGAGCACAAGCAGGGGAGGGGCACAGAGACAGACAGAGGATATGAAGCAGGTTCTGCACTGACAGTCTGACAGCAGTGAGACGGATGTGGGGCTCAAACTCACCACGAGATCATGACCTTTGCTGAAGTCGGACGTTCAACTGACTAAGCCACCCAGGTGCCACCCTAACCATCATTTTGAATGAGAGCCCAAGCCTGGGTCCTGATGGGTCATTTGTTTCCTCTTCTCAGCTTCTTAGAACCCCAAAACCTATGTGTTGTGCAGGGTGTTTTCATGCTGGGCTGTCGCATCGTATTCTACTTTTTCCTGGATTTCCTTTTGGAATGAGATTTAGACAGTGGCTGTGGTTTCTGGCTCCTTATTTCCCATCCTTCTTTGTTTTTAAGAAGTCCAGACATCTTTCATCAAAGTCCTCTCTTGTCTATAGGTCTTACTCCCAGCTCAGAGCTGTTCCTCTGGAGGGAGAGCAGGGAAGGAGGAATTTAAAAATAGAGGTAAGGAAAGTCTTACTAGCATTCCCTCCTTTACACCCTGGCGTACCAACAGCAACCAGGGCAATAAAACTCCCCTCCCAGGACTGCATCCGTGGCCTTGACCACAGCAGCCAGAGTCCCATCTTGGCTCTGCTTCCCAACAAGCCACCCTGCCTCCTCTCTCTGGCAATCCCTGCCAACTCACTCTACCACCAGCCTTCCTTGTCATCTGTAAGGCCAGCCTCCTTTACCAAGAACCTTTCATTTGCCTGTCCCTGTGCAACGGGCACGTTGATCTGATGCTGGAAGAAGCGAATGGAGAAATGGCAGTCACAGACTCCAGGGTGGTAAAGTAATGACAGGGCAGCATGCTTCCTGCTTCATCTTCATGGAATAACCCAGTACTTTAAGATATGGGTGACGTGCAATTTGGGCTCCATATGTAGAAAGAGATACAACCACAAGTGGAGTAACTTTAGAGAAAAACAACCTGGATCTTCAACAGATAGAAAATGGGTTCCTTGGACAAAAGAATTAGAGCTGTTCACTCACTCATTCTAACAGATATTTAGCCCATAGCTTGAGCAAGGCATTGTGCGAGGTCACGTAGATATAATGATGACTAGATCATGGTTTCTGCCCTCGCAACACCTGCCTCTCTAGGCATCTAGAGAGTTCAGGTGCATCTACAAAAATAATCGTAATATGGAACAAGCATTAAGTTTTACAAATGTAGAATCTAGATGTTGCTGTGACACTTTTGGAGATGGGATGTGGCTCTTTCAACTAATATTACATGCAAATGGTGACATTTCAGGAGATCCTGAGGAGTGGGTAAGATTTTAATGGATATGGAAAGAGGAGGCTATTCCAGGCAGAAAGCAGTGTAAACAAAGACCAAGGAAAACTTAATGTTTGGGAATGTTGAGCATCTGGGTTTGATGAAGCAGAGAGTAGGAGGGAGAATATAGGATGGTGCTATATTATGAAAGACTTTGAATAACAACCTCAAAGACTGGCATTTATTCAGTAGATGAGAAAAAGCAGTTGCAAGTTCTAGAATAGGGTAGGTAGCATTGTAGGATGAAACCGGCAAGGGTGAAACAGTGTTAAGGTACTTTAGTATGGATGATGCCTGAACTGGATATGAAGATCTCTTGCTGTGGCTGACATTGGCCCTTTAGCTGCTGAGTCATGAAACTCTCCTGGGGACAGGTCAGGTGGTAGTGGGGCATTCAGAGGGCTTGGGGCACTCACTGTATACCAACATGTTCTTAAGTATTTCTGTATTTTAATAACTGGTACAGCTGTACTGGTCTGTACCAGCTGAAAAGCAGCCCTGGGAACAGACTATTATTGGAAGTTAAAGACTCTCCATTCTGGCAGGTTTTAACAAGTTATACCCATTTGTTCAGATTGGATTAGCTAAATCCTGCCTGAGGGCAGAGGTCTGGACTAAAATGGTTTCTAGGTTCTTTGCTCTATAATTGACCTACTGCTGGGACTAACTTGTTGCTGGAGCCAAGAGATTGCATTTTGGCGCAGAGCCAGGGCAGAATGATAGCATGCACCGGCTTCTTTCTAGATCTCACAAGGCCGGGTCTGGTATGTCTCCATTCTAGTGCCAGGTTTACCTGCTGCACCCCAAAGTGTTCTCAAGCCCAGGAATTAATCGGCTTTTGCTGCCTTAAATCTGTCACACATCTCTCTAGTTGGCCCTTGTGATTTCTGATTGAGTTTGAATGGGCTGCGGTAGGCACGCCTACAGATGTCAGCTCCTGGGTCACCACTGCCATTGTGACCTGGAAAAGATACAGACCCTCCAGTAACAGAGGTAACTCAGGGTGGAACAGTAATCTGAGTTGCAGGCAGGGAGAGAGGGAGAAGCAAATGTGACCAAGGTGTGGGCACAGCGGGGATGGTGTGGCTCAGGGTTGACACTCAGGCAGAAGCAAGTGTTTGAAGGGAGGCAGAACTGCTTCCTGTCCTCCCGGGGGCCTGGGACCGGGTCTCATGCTGCGCTGGCCGGACTGCCCTTCGTTCCCGTGGCATCTCTGATTCCTGTTCCTGCGTCCTACTTATGTCTCTTTATCCTGCCATCCCGGCCACCTGGCTGCTGTGTGCATCTTCAAATCACTGTCCAATTCTAGGCCCAAGCTAGGCACTTGAATGAATACCTCCTGGTTGTGGATGGTAAGCTCTGAATTTCCAAGCACCTGATATTTTCCACTGGCAGAGAGTTTATCAGTGACCAGTCCAAGAATAGAACCTAGGAATTCTTGTTCCTTGTATAATACGTGTAAACAACAATAGCCTTACAACACAT